AATACCATCAGCGTTAATAGCAGCAAGCAAAACTTACTTAGCAAATGTTTCACCACCAGAATGAAAATTATAAACATCAAAACCAATGAATATGCAATTGGAAGCATAGTCGACACCTCTAGATGGATCTAAAATGATTTTAGCAAAATTTTTGATGGGAAGTGAGCGAGGATTCATTTGATTGTTGCTTTTGCCTAGACTTTTGATTCATCTGAAAGTTGAAAGTGGGGATTGATGCATTTATATAATTATAGCCTTTGAATCAAATGTTTAAAACTTGATCTTTCAACCCTTGAAATCTGATAGTTTGTGATGCACATCTCTTAAATGATCTCGAATCTTTTGTATTGTTTTGGATATCGTAATTCTTTGAATAATGTATTGAATACACTGATGAACAGTTGACAACTTACCCAAAATGGCTCGAAAAGGGATTTGGAAATAGGTTTTGACGAATCGTCATCGCGAGTACCCATGTTTTTCAAAAATGACTTGCACTGGTGATAGTATGCGAAGGCTTGACTTTTGGAATTAGACATGGAGCAGATTCGTTCCCATTATGATTTAGATCCTGAACAGGATTATATTTGAATTGGATAGTTTGTTAATAAATTTTTGGATCTCTTCAACGTTTTTAAGGGGGTCCAGATTCATTGTAATCACCTATCTCTTTCGAATCCTAATTTGGCAATTGTAGTGTTTGACCGTTTCATTTATTGTATGTGTGCAATAAAGTTTTCGTCAAATAAAATAAATATGAAACAAATGTTATTTTTTAACTTTAAACTGGACTAATGGTTCAAGTACCTTAAAAATGACTTCATTTAATCGTCTCAAGATTTAAATCATTAAACACTGTCATATCCAACACCATGAAAACTAACAATGTCATTTCGATTCATATATCAAGATGGACGTGAGAAATTTGTTGATGAAGATGGAAAACCAACATTGGATGAGTATGACAAAGAAGGAGCTTTGCCTTTGGATTCAATTGTCGATTTCCACTGCTATCACAAAGCGGTTCAAGAGGAATTGAAGATGGACATAGATTTGGCGGAGCAGGAGGATGAATTAGATGAAGATGCAAATATGGATATGAGTAATGAAGCCATCAAACCCAACAATTACAAAGTTAAGAATGAAAAGAAAAGATCAAATAGAAAATACACTGATCTGGATGTCAACAAAGTTATTGGTATTCATAATGAGAAACCATCTGTAGCTATCCGCATAATTGCAGGTACTGCTAAAGTTGATGAAACTACCACCAAAAAATGGATATCGCAATATAAAAAGAACGGTGTTGTCCCCACTATCAATCAAAGAGGTAGAAAGAAAAAGCAATTAACTGAAGATCATAAGAAAGCTGTTGTATCCTTTTTTGATGATAATCCTATTGCAACAATTGATGACGCTAGAGATGAGTTGACAAAGTTATTTGGAGAGCTTGAGATCGGAGCCACTAGATTGAAGGAGTTTGTGAAAAAAGATTGTGCATTGACATTCAAAAAGGTAAGGCATGACAGTAGTGGCAGAAACTCCAAAGAAAAAATAGAGTTGAGATATCAATTCGTGAAAGAACTAATCAAACTAAAGATCAACTATTTGGAATGTATTTTCATTGATGAAGCAGGTTTTGATATATCATTACATAGATCAAGAGGTTGGCCAAAAAGGGTGAAACTCCTGTTGCTGTGACAAAGCAGTTGAAAGCTGAAAACAGACTGGTTTTAGGTGCTGTTGGTGCTGAAGGAATTATACTTTTGTCGCTACGTCCACCTCCCGTTTCAAACAAAAAGAGAAAACTAGATGCTGGATCTGCCCCGGAACCTTCAGCATTTGATGCTGCTGTACCGGAATCTAAAGGTACTACCACAGGTCATTTTAAAACATTTGTCACTCAGGTTTGTCAAATTTTGAAGGAAAATGAAGAGTTGAAAGGAAGATATTTGGTCATATTTCCCCAGACTTTTATAGAACTCATTTCATTTCATATCAAAATACAACTTAAAGAACGATTTTAGACTCATCATCAGATCAAAATCCATTGGTTGTATTTGCTACAATTGCATCAATTATACTATCATTTGTTGGTTTTTATTTTTTTCAACAATCTAAAAAATCAAATGGTTCAAAACAGTCATTTGCATTAATACCTGATAAATTTCAAAAATTCCCATTAATTGATATTAAAAAAGTTCGTCATAATTCATCAGTTTATAGATTTGGTTTAAACAAACCAACTGATAAATTAAATTTACCAATTGGTCAACATATTTCAATTGGTGCAATAATAGATGGTAAAGAAATTGTTAGATCTTATACTCCAATTTCAACAAGTGATCAACAAGGTCATTTTAATTTATTAATTAAAACTTATGAAAATGGTAATATTTCAAAACATGTTGCTTCTAAAAAAATTGGTGATACTGTTGAAATTAGAGGACCAAAAGGATTTTTCACACATTCTCCAAATATTAAAAAGACATTAGGTATGATTGCAGGAGGTACTGGTATTGCTCCAATGTATCAAATCATTACAGCTATAATGAATAATCCAGATGATAAAACTATTGTTCATTTAATTTATGCAAATGTTACTGAAGATGATATTTTATTGAGAGAAGAATTAGAAAATTTTTCAAAACAACATCCAGATAGATTAAAGATCCATTATGTTTTAAATGAAGCTCCAAATGATTGGAAATATTCAACTGGATTTGTTACACCAGATTTAATTGCAAAACATTTACCACAACCATCTCAAGATACTAATTTATTATTATGTGGTCCACCACCAATGATTAGTGCTATGAAAAAAGCTGCTGTATCTTTAGGTTATGATAAAGCAAAACCAGTTTCTAAATTAGGTGATCAAGTTTTCGTTTTTTAAATGATTGCATAATTGGATTGTACTTTTTATCAATTTTTTGGATAGCATTATATTTACAATTATAGGTATTAGAATAAATTACAAAATATAAATATACAATTAATTTGAAGATATCGTAGGCGATGATATTTCGTATCATATAATTTTAAACAATCGAGATCGTAAATAGATTTTTTTCTTATTTTATTGGTTATTAAATTCAAAGGAATAATTGCACAATTTATAACGATTACTGCAGTAACAGAAAAACTGAGGTAGATACCACCACAATCGACAATGAGAATGTCTGGACATGTAATGAGAAACTTAGAAAGTTCAAAGTTGTAAAGCATCTCTCAATGAACGAACTTCAGAAAAATTTAATCGTGAATTTATGTTTTCTTCTGATTACTGTCACCTATGTTGTCGCTTAGGTGACAAAATAGAGAAAATTAAATTTATTGGAATTTTTATTTTACATTAAAGTCGTCAACCGACTTCACAATTTGATTTTTGTTTTATTAATTTTACTGAAATATTTGCAATATAAAAAGGTGGTTAAAATTCAACATTTTAACAGTTTATAATTTAGATAGATAACGAATAGCGATTAGAGAATATATATCAAATCTACTATATTTAAGAGTTTTGACTCTCTTATTGAGTTCTTTCATTCAAGACCATTCATCATTACGTTCAAAGATGAATAACTCACGAGTGAGAGAATCGAACTAGAAATTTACTCAAATACATTTAAATTAAAATAGCGCGAGTTGTTATAATTGTAATGCGACCTAAGAACCTAGGAAAGTCTAAGATCTACGTCGAACTTGTCACTAACTTAAAAAGATTAAGCTACCGTGTGACATTACGTAAAATAATATGAATTGTCCTTCCTTGGTCTTAACAATTTGATATTAAAGTCAAGCTAATTGAACTCGCCTCGACAATATAGCAATTACTAAATATTGGTAGATTACTTTTTCAAAAAGTAGTAGTTGAGTTATGATAATTTTGTTTTTCAGCTTCAAAACTTTTCATCTTTAGATTGGTTATTGTAATCATAACAATATTGAAAATAATTGATCCAATAGAAGCACAACAACCAAATATAAAAAGAATGGAAGTTTTAGGATGTTTTTTAACATATTGAAAAATTGATTTATCCACCGATTTTCTTTCAAACTTTTTCTCAACAGATTTTTCTTCCCTATTTATTCTTAAAACCACCATTAAAGTTTTTTCATTATTGGTAACAACTTTATCATAAATGATATCCTCACTCATTAATTTTATAAAACCAACTGTTTCGGGAATTTCTAAAATTTTACCTTCTCTAGGTTCATCTAGAGAGCCATTAACTTCATCCTTTTGAGTTGAGTTTGAATTAGTCTCTGTAGACTCATGATAAAGCGAAAAGTCCTCTAACTCCATGATTCAATCGATTGATCAACTTTTGGCGTTGCTAAATCTTTTTATTGAGAAAGTTTATTGCAGAAATGTTGAAGGTGAGACGATAGATATACCTCAATTTTTAAGAGCTCTCGAATATTTGATAAGCTGTTTAAGTAAATAATAAGAAAAAAAATGAAACACATTTTAATTTTTTAAAATCAACCTGTTTTACCTGCTTTGTTATATTGAACAAAGCCCTAGAAGGACCTAATCCCACTCTTCTTTCTATGTCTTACTGTAGGGAACACAATACTTCTCATAACTTCTGTTACAGGGAACAGTATTTCTTGAGACGATTTTGTAATTCTAGATTTGAACCAATCGACATATCTGGTAGGTTCACTGTCTTAAACAACACTGTTAATTCCGTAATTTCAAACTTGATCCCCATCTTGTATTTCTATTTGCTCTTTTACTTAAATTGAAAATAAATTTCGTTGATTTTGTGATTAGGGGGTGAAACAACCAACCCCATTTTTGAAACAGATTATTTGAATACTTGTATTCTACACGAGAAGTTGAAAAAGCTATACAATTTTATTAAACGATAAGAAGTAGGTTGTTTAAAACTTCGAATTTTTTCAGATCAAAAAAAGTTGAAGTATAAAGTCAGAAATTTTCAAACGTGTTTGAGTTTTGTACCAACTTTGAAATTGATAGTGTCAATATTTTGGTGCCTGAATAATAGTTCAATATTGCCTAGTCACTAGATTGAGTTAATAATACAATTATTTATGATAAAATGTATATATTATATTATAAAACTAAAAAATCTATATAATCTTTTTCTGTTGGAAAAATTCTATCTGTTAAAATTTTTCATATACTATTTCATTCATTGATTATAGTACTGCATATAGCGATTATATATCTTACTTTATAATTCCAATAGTTGGAATCTGACAGATTGGTTCCAATTTTTATAGCTGATTTAAACTTTGAAGTTTTTCATAATTATCTTTCCAAAAAAGCCAACCAACCATTAAAATGAAAAAAGCAAGACCAACGAGGGTAGAACCAGTAATATACACAACATCATGTCTTAAAGAATAGTCAAACTCGCAGGTACATTTCTCGACTTTTTTTATGAAACACATTACAGACTCATTGCTTTCATCATGTGATATAAAACCATCAAATTCAATTTTATCATCATCGATGATTTGTAGTAACAGAACACAATTCGGAATTTTTAGTATTCGGGGTACAAACTCGGATTCAAGATTGAATTGTTCTAGTTGGTCCTCTTGATTTTGAACAATGAAATCCAAATTGTTTTCGTATTCCATAGAATTATAACCAGGTGGTGTTGACTCTGAGTCCATCATATTGATTTGACCGAGATTAAATTGCACTATCGGGCTGAGAAAGTCTTTCACGTTGATATCTTCTAGACAAAGTTTTCAATTATAATTCAACTTGAGTTTTCGTCTTGCTTTAAATCCAAAATTTTTAGTAAACAACAAGAATTACAATATTTTAAAATATTCAAAATTATTTCGTTTACGGCACAACTAAAAGAAATCTGGACTGAAGAAGTGGTACAATTATTCACGATCATAGAGAAATTGTAGTCATCCGTTTGAAAATAATGTTGATATATATCGGAAATTACCTGGATAAGACAGAAGTATGTCCAGATGAAAAATTTTCGCATGATAGAATAAAAGTAGAAAAACCTTGAGCTTGAGATCAAGATTTACCGTATAATAGATTCAGTCATTAACTTATTTAAGATATATAGTAGAATATATTAATTTTGTATATTCGGAGTTTTTTGGTTGTTATTCACTCACTCAGAGAAAAGTAAACTTTCATAAATTGTACAATAAATAATGGTCTCGAGTGCGAGCTTTTTGATCTAATTCTTTCTCTTGGAGTTTTAAAGGTTGATTATGAGACCAGTACGACTCAACAAATATTGTAATCTTTAATCAAGTCATACATCCTTTACAACGCAAAATGCAGAATTATAGATATCAATATTCGGAAAGTACAAGGTAGAAATATTACTGTATTATTCAGCTACCACACCAAGTAAAGAGAACTATTTTCAGTGTTGAACATTTTATGTGCAGTAGCTCAAGTCTCATTCTCTATGATATAATTTTTTTTGATCCTCAAATACCTAGTTCTTCAGTCCCATGATGTTCTGGTCGTAAGGTAATTGTTGAGTTCTGAATTAGCGGTGTTTGAGCTTCAAAATTTCTCATTCTGACATAGGTCGCGTCATAGGTCACTTTAGTCATAACGACATGAAAAATATTTGCTCCAACAAGAGCGCAACAACCAAATATCAAAAGAATGGATTCAGAAATGACAGCAACTTTCTCAGATAAGTAGTTTGTATCGAAACTTAATATGAAAATCTATATCCTTTCCAAACCTGATAAAGGGAATGAAAATTATCAGTTGACAGTAATGTTTTGTTTATGTATTTTTGATAAACATCACGTGACTTAAGTCAGAGTCTTTATACAGTTAAATTAAAATTATTGTCGTTTTGTGTTTAAGTGAATTGTCGTTCGTGAGAAAATTTGTTATCGTTTCAATCTAATCTCGTTGTCTTTTCAAGAAAACTTGATTGTCGCCTTACGAATTGTTGATCTGTCGTTTCAAGAAAAAAATTCAGTCGCACCTTAACTATGTAATCCCTTAACAAAATAGCGAAATAAATTTTGACCTTACAACGACAACTCAATTTACAACCAAGCGACAACACCCTTTTAGTCGAACGACAACTCAAATTTATTAGACCGACAAGAAAAAATCATTAAAGCGACAAATCAATCTTCGTTCATGCGACAATAATTTTATCTCTACTGTATGTGATAAAGCTATTATATACAAGATAAATCCATAGCCACGTCACACGACCTTGACAATTCACATTTACAAAGCTTTACCAAATAAAGTTTGGAGAATCAACATTTAACTAGATCTTATCTGTTCAACAAGCTCGTATAATAATCTACAACCTACACTATACGACAATATACATAAAACACAACATTACATAAAATGAGGTTTATGCATTTATTATAATTACAAAATCGTGGGAACCAATGATAGGCATTTTGTAGCAATACACTAGAACCTTTTCAATCCATTACATGTACCTTCAAATACCACAAGTTCCTTTCAGGGTGGATTAATTTTTGGGAAGTATGCCACATTGTGAAAATAATGATATGACATTATAGTTTCAAGATCTCATCATATCATTTTGCCACTGAGCTCAAGTTTTTGCATAGCAAGATATCAGTATGAATAAGAAGTCTTAGGCTTATTCGATTTTATAAAAAGAACTCATTCTAGTCAATAATGCTTCAAAAATCAGATGGAAATTCCCATATCTTCCCTTACACCAATGTTTGACATAAAATTCAAAATTGCCATAGAGACTTTACTTTCGATTGAGACGTTTATGATATTGATTTTAGCTACAATTTGGATGATTACCAATAGTTACGAGAAAAAAATGACAATCCTCAAAGAACAACACGGAGAAATCACTCAACTACAAAAGATATATAAAAGACTAGAAAGGGCAAGAAAGTTCCTAATCATCTTCTGTATAATTTTAGCTGGAGTTTTAATTGATTTAATATATTGGGGGTCAACATGAAGGTGATAATTTTGCTAAGTTCAAAAGGTTTTAATATACATTTTCATTGCTGTAAATTGCAATTGACACTTATATTGATTCTTTGTCCAATCTTCTTTTACTCTTGTAAAGTTCCATTTTTTTTCCATTACATACTTGTCGAAACTCAAGAATTAATCAAAAAATTAGTTCTGTATAATAACACGGAAATGAAAAAAGAAATGACAGGCAAAAAAGTAGTACAATATGCATTTATAGAGTAATAAACAATCAACTTCAACTAATTAATTCATCAAATATTCATGTATAATTCCGATATCCAAGGGAGATAGACAGATAGATAAAACACTAATAGATATATACAACTTTTCATAATCATACACAGAATAAGTTTCATTATCAACTAGTTTGATATATACAACCAGATACCTTTCCACGTGGATATCGGACCTTCAACATAGATAGCATTCATTTCAGTCATAATGTTGCCGAAATCACTAATGATTTTATTGCCAATACTATCACTGTCACTCAACCAATAGAACAATCGCAGGAGAATACATACTCGAAACAACCACAGCAATCATATTTTGATATATCAGAAGGTAACAACTATATACTAAATACAATCCAAGACGATTATAAAGAACTTAAAATTTCAAACATTTTACCGGATCCAATTAAATATAAAAATTTACCACCAATTATAAGTTTACCAAGTCAAGAACAAAGAACTTTGAAACCAGGAGAAATTTCACAATATGTTATAGATTATTCACCATTGGTTTATTTATATAGTGAAGAGAAATATTTACCATATGATATAAAAGAATTTGTTACAAATTTTCATGTTACTTATAAAAATGGTACTATTTATCCTGGAACTGAAACGGGTATGTCCTTAAAGAAATTATCACAATTAAAACATAGTAAAAGATTGTTTTTAACTTCCAATACAAATTTTGATGATGATCCTGATTGGATTACGGGAATTATAAATAAACCTAATTTGATAAATGGAGAAATTAAGAATGCACCATCAAATGAATCCTCACTCACTTCCCATCAAAAATTTTGCTAAAATCATTTTAGATCCATCTAGAGGTGTCGACTATGCTTCCAATTGCACATTCATTGGTTTTGATGTTTATAATTTTCATTCTGGTGGTGAAACATTTGCTAAGTAAGTTTTGCTTGCTGCTATTAACGCTGATGGTATTATAAACACACATTTGATTGATCATGAAGAATTATCTGCAATTAGTGATACCGATTTATCTGAAAATTCATTTTGGTTCACATTCAAAAACTTTTGTGTTGAGCTGGTCCAATTAATGGGTTTATTGGTTGATCAAAAATATCACTTGATTTCGGAAGAATCTCCACTACTTAACGTTCCTGGGATCTTACAGGATACCACTTTGAACAAATTAGGATTCATATTTTTGCCTTCATCTGTCGTCAAGTTCAACCCGATCAATAAATTTAGTGACATGGTAGTTGATCGAAGTTTTAGAAACTCTGAACTGAAGGAGCCACTGGATATGATTACAGATATATTGAGTTCTATCTCGAAAGAAGACATTTCGGAAATGATCAATACCTGCGCGAAGGAGCTTGCTGCTTATAATTGCTAGGTCAATAAAATGTTCTTTAATTGTTATATGTCCCTCTACTACCCTTGATCATACTCTTTGAAATTGGCCTACTACTTGTTGGTTTTCATTTAGTTTCAAGTCGTTAAAAATAATTGTCTCAAATCGTTTTAATTTCTTGTACGGAGCGGTATTATTTTTGGTCCACTCCGAGTAAAAATAGGTCGACATCTTAGTCTTTCTTTCCTCTACATTTTAGTGCTTTTATTTTTTTCAAAGCGAGAAAAAAAGATAGAAAATTTGGGCATAAATTTTGAAATTTTTTGTGACAGTTTTGAATCAAAATAGACACAAATTGTTCGTAAGTTTAGTACTAA